GTTCGTAAGCGACTGATGGTGATGTGCTCCCAGATAGCCAGTGGGATGGAGTACCTGGCAGCTGACAAATACGTCCATAGAGACCTCGCTGCCAGGAACTGCATGTGAGTCCCAATAACTTCACATTACCAAAGTAGCATATCATATTATGTCTGCAAATACTTTTATTGTATGACTAAAGCTCAATCTTTATAGCTTCATGCGTACTACAGGATCGATGCCCATTTCATGATCAAGATCGCAGACTTTGGTCTGTCGGAGGACGTGCTTCAGAAGAACTACTTCAGACAGGGAGGTGGGAGTGGGGAGGGAGTAAAACTGCCAGTCAAGTGGATGGCTCCAGAGAGCCTCAGTGACGGACACTTCTCTGAAAAAGAGTGACGTGGTATGTTGACCAACAACTACATCAACATTCTGCAACTCTCTTAGCCAAGTTTCTTATGTCCACTTACAATTGTGACGCCTTGGGGACAATTGAAGGTGGGTTTATTTGGAGGCATGCCTTGTTAACTCTAAGACAGCCAAGAGTCCTTTATAAAGAGTTTTTTAATAAGAGGATTCACTGCTTCAGACATGTATGCCCACTTTACTATATACACATAAGGAAAATCGAATTTCTTCTCCGACTCTTCCCTACAGTGGTCGTATGGAGTGACAACGTGGGAGATATTCAGTGGAGGGAAGGCCCCATATCCCGGGACTGATCCCCTCACTCTCGTACAGAGTCTGGAACAGGGCTACCGGATGCCTCAACCTTACAACACCGTCTGCAGCGAGGAAATGTGAGTGCCATTATTCAACTATGGTGAAACCACTCAAAAAATATCCTCTGAGCTAAGTTCACCTCTCTCTCAAGGATACCAGTTACAGCACGATGATAGTAATAAAATACTGTTTTCAGCGCCATAGTAGAAAAAAACTCAAATTTTACTGTCCACGCCGCGTCTCTTAGCTATTTACTGTACTCCGATAGCCTCATTACCAGGCTCAACTATATAGGCTACACTGATTGAATCCTGTATATACTTTGATCAAGAATGTTTAATTGCCATTATTTTGACTGTGTGTAAGTAATAGACTATTGAAAGGCTGCAGACATGTGTGTCATCAGTAGCGTGTCCCACACAGCTATGGGATAATGATTCGTTGCTGGCACATGGCTCCAGAAGACAGACCAACTTTCAAGGAGCTCTACTGCAGTGTCTCACAGTCCATTGAACGTGATGCAGGCTACCTGCAGTTTGGATTTAACCCTTTCACTGGGGGTGGGGGAGAGGGAGGAGGAGGAGATGGTGGTGGGGGAGAGGGAGTGGGAGGAGATGGGGAAGAGGGTGAAGAAGAGGGTGTTGGGGTGGGGGGAGGAGGAGAAGGGGAGGGAGAGGGGCAAGAGGAGGAAGATGGAAAGGAAGGACAGAAGATTGGATCTGGTGTGTCCATCGAGGTCATTCCACCATCGCTGGATACCAATGGAGCACATACTCTGTTTAGTAACCCCCACACTGACTGAAAACATTACATGAACCCCTCTGTATCTTTCTTGTCACTGTTATTTGCTTTTGCTTGATCAATAGCGACTCAGTGTTCATGATGACGGAAACTAGCAAAGCATCTATTTCGTCCTGTTGTCTACATTACTGTAAGAGACAAACTATTCATTATAATACCAATTGAGGGATACATTGTGACATAGAGAAGTGGCGGATCCAGGGGGTTCCTTGTGTTCCACAGAACCCCCCATTTTTACTGTTTTGCGCGCATGTGTCGCTGGCCTCGTGCACGCGCACGAACGCAGTCAAAACGTTCATGGACAGTGGAACCCCCCTTTCAAAATCTTAAATCCGCCATTGTAGAGAGAACAGAATCTCAATTGAAAAAGGATAACCATAGCATTCAGGGGAAAGAACACAAAGGGCTATAAGATTTAAAACATTTAACTGGCCTTATTCGTAAACTTGATGTATTGACACATTCACTTTAAGTGACATTCAAATCAGCATAGTGAATGATTATTGCACTTTTTCTCCATAAACAGGATGAAGGTTCACAACCCCAATCATAAAAGAGGCGTAATAAGGAAGTGACTGGAAACTTGACTGTCGTACGTACTTGGGTGGAACCTGCAGCTGGCTATTGAAAGAGCTTTTGCTAAAGCGAATGTCATACATTTTTGGCGAGCAAGTGTGAGCAGTTTGCACATTTTTCACGGGTTTTTGAATGATGTGAAGGTTCTAGAGCAGGAATGTTCTTGAGCAGTCTAGGTACATACATTACGTAACAGGAACTCTAGTTTGACAAGTAAATAAAAAATCTTGCGAATTTAAAAAGAGAGGCATTATAGGGATGGTGAAATAAGGAAGGGAGACAAGATAGGGATGGGATACATGAAGCATGGTTAAAGAACAGATTTTACAGTGCCGTTTTAAATCCCGAATTTAAACAAAGAAGGGTTAGCTGTATTCCTAGTGTTTCACTGTCAGACCCACTACAGAGAATGCCGGTGATCCCCAAGAAGAAGATCCACACTCGGAGAATTCTAGATCTGGCAGACCTACCTAGCCTGATGTACCACTGTCACCAGAGCCAGTGTCTGAAGTCAGTCCCACTGAAGATGTCCACAACGGTGTGTCTACCTCACAGGGACCGAGTGACCAGTCAGATGAAGAAACCCACGAGGATGCTGTCGAGACCCTGGCTTTAGCCATGAACATGGTTCCGAGGATGTTGCTCAGCGACATAACCTGCAGGATTTCTCAGTATTGCCATATGCTGGGCACGATCACATGCCAACTACACCACCTGTTACCTCCCGTTACTCGCTAAGGGACCATTCACGTCGACAGCAGCCACGACATCTAATGCAAGTTGACAGTTCGGGACTAACTTATTAAGAGGAGGGAGTAACCAAGCATGGACTATCATGGACTATCACATTAAACTATGGATTTGCATCACTTGTCACTCATACGCTATATGCTTGTACGCATGCATGAATAACAGTTAGTCTTCTGCCTCGCCCGAACCGAGTGAACAGTTCTACTACCGGGATCTAGAGCATAAGAAGGTAGCAAATAGAGCAATTTAAAGGCTCTTTTTAGCAGGTTATTGCATGGCTGAATTAAGAAATTTACGGTGGTTTTCCCTAAATTTTTCACAAGGCACCACCAGTAAGAATATGTAGGCAGATTTCTAACTCAGGAACAAAATATCCAAGTAACCTTTTAGAGTTCAAAATGAGGCTAATAAAACTTCAGAAGGGCTGACTCCGCGAGACTACGTATTTTGCCTGGAGAGCAGAGTCACGGTGCACTGTCAGACACACTAGGCTGTGAAAATTTTCAGCTTCCGCACAACAACATAGTAGTCTGATTACTGTCCATAAAACCACATCAACTGTGTACGAAGATGCTGTACCTCCTTGTCAACCCTGGCAGGTCGGCTGTGTATGTTTCTTGCTACTGCTCCTTTATCAGTCAGCATTCATTTTGTGTGTTATGCTTGTATTTGAGTGTCACTGCTACCTAATTCCTTCTCACTGACAAGAACTTGCTTCTAATGTGCACAGTGCTTGCTCGTGTTCATGGCATGTTGCAACCCCATGCAGAGTGACCATAATGAGTAAATGCTCTGTAGTCAGAGCTATGGAAACAAGTGGAAAAATTATTTATTCATAATGAAGGGGGATATGGGAATGGCTCAAAACATTGAACGGCAAATATGATTAGACGAGGATAGAGGGATGGTGTTATGTAGCATTGTGTGTCTTAGCTGTATATTGACCCCCTGTTCTTTCAACTATAATATGAACCATGGTTTATGCGAGCGCGCTGACACTCCCAAAGTCAATCAGACAATCCATTATTAATGTTATGAAGCTTTTCATTCAGATTTTAGCTGTCAGTTGAGTATAAGATGTTTGATTCAAATTTCGGCAATACCGTGTTTCTTTTCTTCTTTCTAAACGACATATTTCAGTGCACATTTAATGGAAGAGCAGGCAATCAATAGAGATACCTATGTTCTCTGTGATTGAAGATGACAATTTGGGTGAATAATGAGTTTTGCAGTAGTTGCTGAGATAGATGTGCCTGAGAATATCTGCTGTTTCCAGATTTCAGCTGGAGAAGGACAACGTTTTGGGCGGCGAGGAGCTACTGAGATTAGAGTGTTGGACATTGATCATATGTTAAACTTTAAATGGGTGTGTGGCAGGATATACGTAAGGGATAAATGTTACTGCTGCGGTACTGCAGTTACGATTCTATTGTCACATTCTTTTTAAGCTGGGCATTAACCACAGGTACAATTGGTTGATACAAAAGTGAGATAGCGGTGATCGTGCACATAAAGTGTATATTACATCATTTGGATGCTAACAAGGGGTTGATTCCTTCAACCTATTTCACTGACACAAAATGAAGTTGCTAGATTTGGGCACAATTTTTCCCCATTTCTTGAGGCTGTGCTACCTGCTTTTAGGGCTAGAAATATACCATGTGTCACTAAAATGAAACAAGGATGTAAGGTATAATTACAAGTCTAAGTTGAAAACTACACAGTGACTCCGACAATAGCTCACTCAGATATATATAGGGGCACACGAGGTTATGCGTTATGTGTTAGTGCTTTCAATAGCCTAATCTTTGGTGGCCTGCCCATCTGCACGAAATGATAATCATAATGGTTGAGGACAGAGTCAGCCACAGATCATTAATATTCACTTCTTTCTTTTATAGCAATGATCATTGTATTTACTGAGAGAGCTCAAAATGTTTCAGAAACTTATGCCCAAGGTGTTAACCTGCTTCAGTTTCATGTAGCCACTGTCAGAACAGCTGAAAGAAAATATCTAATGGTGTTGCATGAACAAATACACCATGTGATGCCAAGAGAAAAAAAAGATGTGGCGCTCTGGACAGCTGTTTCGGCCCTCATCAGCAGAGCATACCACAACTTCTCTCTCTGGCACCACGAGTTTATAAAGGCTAAGTTGAGCGCAGCACTTGTGGTTTTGAACTAATGAGATTCATCCCCACAAGGCTTTGCTGAGGCGCAGCACTTGTGGTTCTGAACTCATCCCCAAAAGGCTTTGCCAGTACCGAGCCAAAACCCGAACTCAAATTACTGACAACGGATTGGGCTGCGGCAATGAAGCCAGCAAGCACCCATATCCTGCCAGTGCATACACATGAACAAATACACCATGTGATGCCAAGAGAAAAAAGATGTGGAGCACTGGACAGCTGTTTTGGGCTTGTTGGCCCTCATCAGCAGAGCATACCACAACTTCTCTCTCTGGCACCACGAGTTTATAAAGGCTAAGTTGAGCGCAGCACTTGTGGTTTTGAACTAATGAGATTCATCCCCACAAGGCTTTGCTGAGGCGCAGCACTTGTGGTTCTGAACTCATCCCCAAAAGGCTTTGCCAGTACCGAGCCAAAACCCGAACTCAAATTACTGACAACGGATTGGGCTGCGGCAATGAAGCCAGCAAGCACCCATATCCTGCCAGTGCATACACATGAACAAATACACCATGTGATGCCAAGAGAAAAAAGATGTGGAGCACTGGACAGCTGTTTTGGGCTTGTTGGCCTCATCAGCAGAGCATACCACAACTTCTCTCTCTGGCACCACGAGTTTATAAAGGCTAAGTTGAGCGCAGCACTTGTGGTTTTGAACTAATGAGATTCATCCCCACAAGGCTTTGCTGAGGCGCAGCACTTGTGGTTCTGAACTCATCCCCAAAAGGCTTTGCAGTACCGAGCCAAAACCCGAACTCAAATTACTGACAACGGATTGGGCTGCGGCAATGAAGCCAGCAAGCACCCATATCCTGCCAGTGCATACACATGAACAAATACACCATGTGATGCCAAGAGAAAAAAGATGTGGAGCACTGGACAGCTGTTTTGGGCTTGTTGGCCCTCATCAGCAGAGCATACCACAACTTCTCTCTCTGGCACCACGAGTTTATAAAGGCTATGTTGAGCGCAGCACTTGTGGCTTTGAACTAATGAGATTCATCCCCACAAGGCTTTGCTGAGGCGCAGCGCTTGTGGTTCTGAACTAATGAGATTCATCCCCACAAGGCATGTGCAACACCATTAGATTTTCCTGTGATGTCACTCTCAGTGACATCACAGGAAAATCCAAACTTTGTTGCAACATTTGGCAGCAGAGATCCCACTGGTGGTGTCCATTCATATCATATTATTACTAGGAATGCGCACGCGCCTACGAATGACGGAAGTTACACTTCTTTTTGGTGACTAATTGACATTCCTGAGCGT